CCGTGGATTTGTTTCTCCAAAGTACCCAGACTAATACAGTTGGCATCGACTGAATGAGAGTGAGACCCTCAGGTTCCTATTGAACTCTCTGGATCACTCTTTAACCAAACTTTCTTGTATTATGAAATTCTCCTCCCACCCTGCCCCTGAGCTCATCTGTGATCCTGTTGCAATTCGTAGAGTTTATAAATGTTGTAATTTGTAGGTTTCCAGGATGTGGTTGATATTACAAAATTTGTGGTATATAGTTTTCCTGGTATGTAGCTCATTGAAATGGTATTCTTTCTGCATCCTTCTTGTTATTCTGCCCATTCAACTAACTTCCTTCACCATCTCCTCCCACAACCAGGAACACATAACAATTACTAAGCAGTCTATATGTGCTAAGTACTTTATCGCCATATTTCATATTCACAGCACAAGGTGACTATAACCACTATGCTAATTTTACAAAAAAACCCCAAACCAACAAACGAAAAACAGGAATAGGAAGCCACCTCTCATCTTTAGCAATAATGTGCTCAAGCAAGAAAACACCTTAGAAGAATGCGCTTCTTGTATTCCGTGGGCCCTCTAAGAGATTATGTGATTGGAAGAATCAAAGATGTGTAAGTTCAGCTCCAACTGCCTAGGCAGGGGGAGGAGTCTGAGCGCAGGAGACTTGATTAGTTTCACAGTTTAGTCACTACAAGTTGCATTGAGTCCGTATTGGCTGATGGCTACTCAATGGGTTAAGAGTAGAAGAACTGTGCTCTGTAGAATTTCCAATAGCTGATATTTTGGGGAAGTAGATCACCAGGTCCTTTTTCTGAGTCACCTCTGAGTGGACTAGAATTACAAAATCTTTGCTTAGCACCAAACACAGTACTGTACCTGTTTTTGCCACCAAGGAACTCCTTTGGTGGCAATTATATTGAGAATTGAAACCAAGTTTATCTTTCTCGTTAGCCTTTATACCTGCTCAATTCGCTAAGTGGTTAGGTTCTAAATAATTAATGTAGAACAAAGAATGATTTTTTTCCCCCTGTATGGGACCAGCTAGTAAACATTTCAGATTTTGAATCCATATGGCCTTTATTCCAACAACTGAAAATTGCCATAGTGGTACACAAAAGTAGTTACATAAGCTATGTAAATAAATGATTGCAGCTGTGTTCAGTAAAGTCATTTATCTACATTGAAGCTTGACTTTTGTGGAATTTTCACCTTCCATGAAATATTTTCATCTATTTATATTTTCTTCTATGTAATAATGTGAAAAATACCCCAAACACAACTATTCTTAAGACCTTATAAGTCTATTGGCTATATTTAGGTTGCAGTTGGATGATTCATTATTGATACTGGAGATTTCAAAAGAATCCACTGCATGCAATAATCACTATTCTGTGACAATTTCATCTTATCATAATACTAAATTGTGAACGTTGGACGTTGAATAAGGACAGCTGAAGAAGAATGGATGCCTTTGAGTTATGATGCTGGCGAACAATATCGAGAGTATCATGGACTGCTGAAAGGACAACCAATCCGTCTTGGAAGAAGTACAGCCAGAGTGCTTGTTCCTTAGAGGCGAGAATGGTGAGACTTATTCCCATGCGCTTTGGACGTGGTCTCAGGCCCAAGCAGTCCCTGGAGAAGGACATCATGCTGGGTACAGTAGAGGGGCCGGGAAAAAGAGGAAGGCCCTCGACAAGATGCCTGGACACGGTGGCGGAAACAATGGGCTCAAACATAAGAACCATTGTGAAGATGGCACAGGATTGGGACGTGTTTGCTCTGTCGGTCATAGGGCCACTGTGATGGCATTGAACAACAATAACAGTACCAAGTTCATGGAAACAGAATTGTGTGCATCCATCTTACCGTTTGAGTGTCTGTTTCCTTGCCGTGCAGTTTCTATACTTAATTATCCTCTAGATTTGGGGGTTAGATGCTGTCGTAGTGAGCACATGTGAACTAGAGAGATACTGCCTCGTCTTGCAGGCTCTTCACAATCATTGCCGTGTATGCACCATTTGCTGGAGCCACTGTGTCAATCCATTTTGTAGAGTTGCTAATGAATCTGAACCAAGTTGGGCACCATCAAGTATGATGTCCTTTTCCCAGGAGCTGGTCCCTCCTGGTCATATCTCCAAAATATGTTGGAAGCCATCCTGGCTCCTAAGGAATATTCTGACTTTACTTCCTCCAAGACAGATTTGTTTGTTCCTCTGTTAATCCATGCTATATTCAATATTCTTTACAAATATCATAACTCAGAGGCATCACATCTTCTTTGTTCAGTGTTTAGGCAATTGAAAATACCATGGCATGGATCAGATATGCCATAATCGTCAAAGTGACAGCGTTTATTTTTAACGATTTAAAGAAGTACCTTGCAGATTTTGTCCGTGCACTATGTTCTTTGATTTCTTGACTGCTGTTTCCATGGGTGTGACTCCATGTAATAGTGGACTCCATGTAAAAGGAAAGTTTTGAAAACATTAATCTTTTCTTGCATTTATCATGATGATGTGCATTGCTGTAGTTGTGAGGATATTTGTTTTCTTTCTGTTGAGATGCCATCCATACTGAAGGCTGTCATCTTCTGTCTTCATCAAAGCGTGTTTCAAATCCTCTTCACTTTCAGCAAGCAAGCTTGTGTAATTTGCAGGTATCGGGCTGTTAATGAGTCTTATCTTGAATCTTGATGCTATGTCCTCCTTCATATAGTCCAAATTCTTGGATTCTTTGCTCCACATACAGATTGAATAAGTTTGTTCAAAGGATACAACCCTGAAGTACAGATTAATTGATTTGAAAACATGCAGTACAGGTACATTAATGTAAGGGAGCATTCTGGAATACCCTTCTTCCCAGTGTTGACTTTTATTCTGATCCTCAGAGTAGGAGATCTGCATTGTCAACAAAATACAGGTAAATACTTTTCTGGTATTCTTTGTTTTAGTTAAAATCCAGCTGATATTAACAATGATTTCCTTTGCTACACATTCTCTTCTGAATCTTCCCCAAATGTCTGTCAGTTACCTGACAATGGTCACTGCTGCGACCATTTTTGTGTTATTCCCAGCAAAATGTTGATAGTATGTGATATTAATGATATTGTTTTCTAGTGTCTACATTTTGTTAAATTACTTATTTCTGGAATGAGCACATGTGTGGATCTCTTATAGTCAGTTGGCCAAATTGCTTGGCTTGGTGTGCGCTTCCAGCACGCATCCTTTTGTTGAAACATCTGATTGGTATTCTTCCAA